CGCGTGGTCCCGCCCACCGCACCTCTCGTACGTGCCTTGTCTCGCCGTCGCCGTTGGAGCAGCGCCATCGCCGTCGGACGGTGCGCCATCGCCGTTGGCAGACGCGAGTAGCCGTCCTCTCTCGCCACCCCGGGAGCGTCACAGGCCGGGCAGAGCGGCCGCGATCGAGCCTCCGACCGGCCGCGTGGTCCCGCCCACCGCACCTCGCGTACGTGCCTTGTCTCGCCGTCGCCGTCGGAGCAGAGCCATCGCCGTCGGACGGTGCGCCATCGCCGTTGGCAGACGCGAGTAGCCGTCCTCTCTCGCCACCCCGGGAGCGTCACGGGCCGTGCAGAGCGGCCGCGATTGAGCCTCCGACCGGCCGCGTGGTCCCGCCCACCGGCCCTCGCGTACGTGCCTTGTCTCGCCGTCGCCGTCGGAGTCGGGCCATCGCCGTCGGACGGTGCGCCATCGCCGTTGGCAGACGCGAGTAGCCGTCCTCTCTCGCCACCCCGGGAGCGTCACGGGCCGTGCAGAGCGGCCACGATCGAGCCTCCGACCGGCCGCGTGGTCCCGCCCACCGCACCTCGCGTACGTGCCTTGTCTCGCCGTCGCCGTTGGAGCCACGCCATCGCCGTCGGACGGTGAGCCATCGCCGTTGGCAGACGCGAGTAGCCGTCCTCTCTCGCCACCCCGGGAGCGTCACGGGCCGTGCAGAGCGGCCACGATCGAGCCTCCGACCGGCCGCGTGGTCCCGCCCACCGCACCTCGCGTACGTGCCTTGTCTCGCCGTCACCGTTGGAGCAGCGCCGTCGCCCGTTGCCATCGCCGTCGGATGGGTTGCCATCGCCGTTGGCAGACGCGAGTAGCCGTCCTCTCTCGCCACCCGGGGAGCGTCACGGGCCGTGCAGAGCGGCCACGATCGAGCCTCCGACCGGCCGCGTGGTCCCGGCCACCGGACCTCGCGTACGTGCCTTGTCTCGCCGTCGCCGTTGGAGCAGGGCCAACGCCGTTGGAGCAGCGCCAACGCCGTTGGACGGTGCGCAATCGCCGTTGGCAGACGCGAGTAGCCGTCCTCTCTCGCCACCCCGGGAGGGTCACGGGCCGTGCAGAGCGGCCGCGATCGAGCCTCCGACCGGCCGCGTGGTCCCGCCCACCGCACCTCGCGTACGTGCCTTGTCTCGCCGTCGCCGTTGGAGCAGCGCCATCGCCGTCGGATGGGGTGCCATCGCCGTTGGCAGACGCGAGTAGCCGTCCTCTCTCGCCACCCCGGGAGCGTCACGGGCCGTGCAGAGCGGCCACGATCGAGCCTCCGACCGGCCGCGTGGTCCCGCCCACCGCACCTCGCGTACGTGCCTTGTCTCGCCGTCGCCGTTGGAGCAGCGCTGTCGCCGTTGGAGCAGCGCCAACGCCGTTGGACGGTGCGCCATCGCCGTTGGCAGACGCGAGTAGCCGTCCTCTCTCGCCACCCCGGGAGCGTCACGGGCCGTGCAGAGCGGCCTCGATCGAGCCTCCGACCGGCCGCGTGGTCCCGCCCACCGCACCTCGCGTACGTGCCTTGTCACGCCGTCGCCGTTGGATCAGCGCCAACGCCGTTGGACGGTGCGCCATCGCCGTTGGCAGACGCGAGTAGCCGTCCTCTCTCGCCACCCCGGGAGCGTCACGGGCCGTGCAGAGCGGCCACGATCGAGCCTCCGACCGGCCGCGTGGTCCCGCCCACCGCACCTCGCGTACGTGCCTTGTCTCGCCGTCGCCGTTGGAGCAGCGCCAACGCCGTTGGAGCAGCGCCATCGCCGTCGGACGGGGTGCCATCGCCGTTGGCAGACGCGAGTAGCCGTCCTCTCTCGCCACCCCGGGAGCGTCACGGGCCGTGCAGACCGGCCACGACCGAGCCTCCGACCGGCCGCGTGGTCCCGCCCACCGCACCTCGCGTACGTGCCTTGTCTCGCCGTCGCCGTTGGATCAGCGCCAACGCCGTTGGACGGTGCGCCATCGCCGTTGGCAGACGCGAGTAGCCGTCCTCTCTCGCCACCCCGGGAGCGTCACGGGCCGTGCAGAGCGGCCACGATCGAGCCTCCGACCGGCCGCGAGGTCCCGCCCACCGCACCTCGCGTACGTGCCTTGTCTCGCCGTCGCCGTTGGAGCAGCGCTGTCGCCGTTGGATCAGCGCCATCGCCGTTGGCAGACGCGAGTAGCCGTCCTCTCTCGCACCCCGGGAGCGTCACGGGCCGTGCAGAGCGGCCGCGATCGAGCCTCCGACCGGCCGCGTGGTCCCGCCCACCGCACCTCGCGTACGTGCCTTGTCTCGCCGTCGCCGTTGGAGCAGCGCCAACGCCGTTGGAGCAGCGCCAACGCCGTTGGACGGTGCGCCATCGCCGTTGGCAGACGCGAGTAGCCGTCCTCTCTCGCCACCCCGGGAGCGTCACGGGCCGTGCAGAGCGGCCACGATCGAGCCTCCGACCGGCCGCGTGGTCCCGCCCACCGCACCTCGCGTACGTGCCTTGTCTCGCCGTCGCCGTTGGAGCAGCGCCAACGCCGTTGGACGGTGCGCCATCGCCGTTGGCAGACGCGAGTAGCTGTCCTCTCTCGCCACCCCGGGAGCGTCACGGGCCGTGCAGAGCGGCCACGATCGAGCCTCCGACCGGCCGCGTGGTCCCGCCCACCGCACCTCGCGTACGTGCCTTGTCTCGCCGTCGCCGTTGGAGCAGCGCCAACGCCGTTGGAGCAGCGCCAACGCCGTTGGACGGTGCGCCATCGCCGTTGGCAGACGCGAGTAGCCGTCCTCTCTCGCCACCCCGGGAGCGTCACGGGCCGTGCAGAGCGGCCACGATCGAGCCTCCGACCGGCCGCGTGGTCCCGCCCACCGCACCTCGCGTACGTGCCTTGTCTCGCCGTCGCCGTTGGAGCAGCGCCAACGCCGTTGGACGGTGCGCCATCGCCGTTGGCAGACGCGAGTAGCCGTCCTCTCTCGCCACCCCGGGAGCGTCACGGGCCGTGCAGAGCGGCCACGATCGAGCCTCCGACCGGCCGCGTGGTCCCGCCCACCGCACCTCGCGTACGTGCCTTGTCTCGCCGTCGCCGTTGGATCAGCGCCAACGCCGTTGGAGCAGCGCCAACGCCGTTGGACGGTGCGCCATCGCCGTTGGCAGACGCGAGTAGCCGTCCTCTCTCGCCACCCCGGGAGCGTCACGGGCCGTGCAGAGCGGCCACGATCGAGCCTCCGACCGGCCGCGTGGTCCCGCCCACCGCACCTCGCGTACGTGCCTTGTCTCGCCGTCGCCGTTGGAGCAGCGCCAACGCCGTTGGAGCAGCGCCAACGCCGTTGGACGGTGCGCCATCGCCGTTGGCAGACGCGAGTAGCCGTCCTCTCTCGCCACCCCGGGAGCGTCACGGGCCGTGCAGAGCGGCCACGATCGAGCCTCCGACCGGCCGCGTGGTCCCGCCCACCGCACCTCGCGTACGTGCCTTGTCTCGCCGTCGCCGTTGGAGCAGCGCCATCGCCGTCGGATGGGGTGCCATCGCCGTTGGCAGACGCGAGTAGCCGTCCTCTCTCGCCACCCCGGGAGCGTCACGGGCCGTGCAGAGCGGCCGCGATCGAGCCTCCGACCGGCCGCGTGGTCCCGCCCACCGCACCTCGCGTACGTGCCTTGTCTCGCCGTCGCCGTTGGAGCAGCGCCAACGCCGTTGGACGGTGCGCCATCGCCGTTGGCAGACGCGAGTAGCCGTCCTCTCTCGCCACCCCGGGAGCGTCACGGGCCGTGCAGAGCGGCCACGATCGAGCCTCCGACCGGCCGCGTGGTCCCGCCCACCGCACCTCGCGTACGTGCCTTGTCTCGCCGTCGCCGTTGGAGCAGCGCCAACGCCGTTGGAGCAGCGCCAACGCCGTTGGACGGTGCGCCATCGCCGTTGGCAGACGCGAGTAGCCGTCCTCTCTCGCCACCCCGGGAGCGTCACGGGCCGTGCAGAGCGGCCACGATCGAGCCTCCGACCGGCCGCGTGGTCCCGCCCACCGCACCTCGCGTACGTGCCTTGTCTCGCCGTCGCCGTTGGAGCAGCGCCAACGCCGTTGGACGGTGCGCCATCGCCGTTGGCAGACGCGAGTAGCCGTCCTCTCTCGCCACCCCGGGAGCGTCACGGGCCGTGCAGAGCGGCCACGATCGAGCCTCCGACCGGCCGCGTGGTCCCGCCCACCGCACCTCGCGTACGTGCCTTGTCTCGCCGTCGCCGTTGGAGCAGCGCCAACGCCGTTGGAGCAGCGCCAACGCCGTTGGACGGTGCGCCATCGCCGTTGGCAGACGCGAGTAGCCGTCCTCTCTCGCCACCCCGGGAGCGTCACGGGCCGTGCAGAGCGGCCACGATCGAGCCTCCGACCGGCCGCGTGGTCCCGCCCACCGCACCTCGCGTACGTGCCTTGTCTCGCCGTCGCCGTTGGAGCAGCGCCAACGCCGTTGGAGCAGCGCCAACGCCGTTGGACGGTGCGCCATCGCCGTTGGCAGACGCGAGTAGCCGTCCTCTCTCGCCACCCCGGGAGCGTCACGGGCCGTGCAGAGCGGCCACGATCGAGCCTCCGACCGGCCGCGTGGTCCCGCCCACCGCACCTCGCGTACGTGCCTTGTCTCGCCGTCGCCGTTGGAGCAGCGCCAACGCCGTTGGAGCAGCGCCAACGCCGTTGGACGGTGCGCCATCGCCGTTGGCAGACGCGAGTAGCCGTCCTCTCTCGCCACCCCGGGAGCGTCACGGGCCGTGCAGAGCGGCCACGATCGAGCCTCCGACCGGCCGCGTGGTCCCGCCCACCGCACCTCGCGTACGTGCCTTGTCTCGCCGTCGCCGTTGGAGCAGCGCCAACGCCGTTGGACGGTGCGTCATCGCCGTTGGCAGACGCGAGTAGCCGTCCTCTCTCGCCACCCCGGGAGCGTCACGGGCCGTGCAGAGCGGCCACGATCGAGCCTCCGACCGGCCGCGTGGTCCCGCCCACCGCACCTCGCGTACGTGCCTTGTCTCGCCGTCGCCGTTGGAGCAGCGCCAACGCCGTTGGAGCAGCGCCAACGCCGTTGGACGGTGCGCCATCGCCGTTGGCAGACGCGAGTAGCCGTCCTCTCTCGCCACCCCGGGAGCGTCACGGGCCGTGCAGAGCGGCCACGATCGAGCCTCCGACCGGCCGCGTGGTCCCGCCCACCGCACCTCGCGTACGTGCCTTGTCTCGCCGTCGCCGTTGGAGCAGCGCCAACGCCGTTGGACGGTGCGCCATCGCCGTTGGCAGACGCGAGTAGCCGTCCTCTCTCGCCACCCCGGGAGCGTCACGGGCCGTGCAGAGCGGCCACGATCGAGCCTCCGACCGGCCGCGTGGTCCCGCCCACCGCACCTCGCGTACGTGCCTTGTCTCGCCGTCGCCGTTGGATCAGCGCCAACGCCGTTGGACGGTGCGCCATCGCCGTTGGCAGACGCGAGTAGCCGTCCTCTCTCGCCACCCCGGGAGCGTCACGGGCCGTGCAGAGCGGCCACGATCGAGCCTCCGACCGGCCGCGTGGTCCCGCCCACCGCACCTCGCGTACGTGCCTTGTCTCGCCGTCGCCGTTGGAGCAGCGCCATCGCCGTTGGATGGGTTGCCATCGCCGTTGGCAGACGCGAGTAGCCGTCCTCTCTCGCCACCCCGGGAGCGTCACGGGCCGTGCAGAGCGGCCGCGATCGAGCCTCCGACCGGCCGCGTGGTCCCGCCCACCGCGCCTCGCGTACGTGCCTTGTCTCGCCGTCGCCGTTGGAGCAGCGCCATCGCCGTCGGACGGTGCGCCATCGCCGTTGGCAGACGCGAGTAGCCGTCCTCTCTCGCCACCCCGGGAGCGTCACGGGCCGTGCAGAGCGGCCGCGATCGAGCCTCCGACCGGCCGCGTGGTCCCGCCCACCGCACCTCGCGTACGTGCCTTGTCTCGCCGTCGCCGTTGGAGCAGCGCCATCGCCGTCGGACGGTGCGCCATCGCCGTTGGCAGACGCGAGTAGCCGTCCTCTCTCGCCACCCCGGGAGCGTCACAGGCCGGGCAGAGCGGCCGCGATCGAGCCTCCGACCGGCCGCGTGGTCCCGCCCACCGCACCTCGCGTACGTGCCTTGTCTCGCCGTCGCCGTTGGAGCAGCGCCATCGCCGTCGGACGGTGCGCCATCGCCGTTGGCAGACGCGAGTAGCCGTCCTCTCTCGCCACCCCGGGAGCGTCACGGGCCGTGCAGAGCGGCCGCGATCGAGCCTCCGACCGGCCGCGTGGTCCCGCCCACCGCACCTCGCGTACGTGCCTTGTCTCGCCGTCGCCGTTGGAGCAGCGCCAACGCCGTTGGACGGTGCGCCATCGCCGTTGGCAGACGCGAGTAGCCGTCCTCTCTCGCCACCCCGGGAGCGTCACGGGCCGTGCAGAGCGGCCACGATCGAGCCTCCGACCGGCCGCGTGGTCCCGCCCACCGCACCTCGCGTACGTGCCTTGTCTCGCCGTCGCCGTTGGAGCAGCGCCATCGCCGTCGGACGGTGAGCCATCGCCGTTGGCAGACGCGAGTAGCCGTCCTCTCTCGCCACCCCGGGAGCGTCACGGGCCGTGCAGAGCGGCCACGATCGAGCCTCCGACCGGCCGCGTGGTCCCGCCCACCGCACCTCGCGTACGTGCCTTGTCTCGCCGTCGCCGTTGGAGCAGCGCCAACGCCGTTGGAGCAGCGCCAACGCCGTTGGACGGTGCGCCATCGCCGTTGGCAGACGCGAGTAGCCGTCCTCTCTCGCCACCCCGGGAGCGTCACGGGCCGTGCAGAGCGGCCACGATCGAGCCTCCGACCGGCCGCGTGGTCCCGCCCACCGCACCTCGCGTACGTGCCTTGTCTCGCCGTCGCCGTTGGAGCAGCGCCAACGCCGTTGGACGGTGCGCCATCGCCGTTGGCAGACGCGAGTAGCCGTCCTCTCTCGCCACCCCGGGAGCGTCACGGGCCGTGCAGAGCGGCCGCGATCGAGCCTCCGACCGGCCGCGTGGTCCCGCCCACCGCACCTCTCGTACGTGCCTTGTCTCGCCGTCGCCGTTGGAGCAGCGCCATCGCCGTCGGACGGTGCGCCATCGCCGTTGGCAGACGCGAGTAGCCGTCCTCTCTCGCCACCCCGGGAGCGTCACAGGCCGGGCAGAGCGGCCACGATCGAGCCTCCGACCGGCCGCGTGGTCCCGCCCACCGCACCTCGCGTACGTGCCTTGTCTCGCCGTCGCCGTCGGAGCCGCGCCATCGCCGTCGGACGGTGCGCCATCGCCGTTGGCAGACGCGAGTAGCCGTCCTCTCTCGCCACCCCGGGAGCGTCACGGGCCGTGCAGAGCGGCCACGATCGAGCCTCCGACCGGCCGCGTGGTCCCGCCCACCGGCCCTCGCGTACGTGCCTTGTCTCGCCGTCGCCGTTGGAGTCGGGCCATCGCCGTCGGACGGTGCGCCATCGCCGTTGGCAGACGCGAGTAGCCGTCCTCTCTCGCCACCCCGGGAGCGTCACGGGCCGTGCAGAGCGGCCACGATCGAGCCTCCGACCGGCCGCGTGGTCCCGCCCACCGCACCTCGCGTACGTGCCTTGTCTCGCCGTCGCCGTTGGAGTCGGGCCATCGCCGTCGGACGGTGCGCCATCGCCGTTGGCAGACGCGAGTAGCCGTCCTCTCTCGCCACCCCGGGAGCGTCACGGGCCGTGCAGAGCGGCCACGATCGAGCCTCCGACCGGCCGCGTGGTCCCACCCACCGCACCTCGCGTACGTGCCTTGTCTCGCCGTCGCCGTTGGAGCAGCGCCGTCGCCGTTGGAGCAGCGCCATCGCCGTCGGATGGGGTGCCATCGCCGTTGGCAGACGCGAGTAGCCGTCCTCTCTCGCCACCCCGGGAGCGTCACGGGCCGTGCAGAGCGGCCGCGATCGAGCCTCCGACCGGCCGCGTGGTCCCGCCCACCGCACCTCGCGTACGTGCCTTGTCTCGCCGTCGCCGTTGGAGCAGCGCCATCGCCGTCGGATGGGGTGCCATCGCCGTTGGCAGACGCGAGTAGCCGTCCTCTCTCGCCACCCCGGGAGCGTCACGGGCCGTGCAGAGCGGCCGCGATCGAGCCTCCGACCGGCCGCGTGGTCCCGCCCACCGCACCTCGCGTACGTGCCTTGTCTCGCCGTCGCCGTCGGAGCAGCGCCATCGCCGTCGGACGGTGCGCCATCGCCGTTGGCAGACGCGAGTAGCCGTCCTCTCTCGCCACCCCGGGAGCGTCACGGGCCGTGCAGAGCGGCCACGATCGAGCCTCCGACCGGCCGCGTGGTCCCACCCACCGCACCTCGCGTACGTGCCTTGTCTCGCCGTCGCCGTTGGAGCAGCGCCGTCGCCGTTGGAGCAGCGCCATCGCCGTCGGATGGGGTGCCATCGCCGTTGGCAGACGCGAGTAGCCGTCCTCTCTCGCCACCCCGGGAGCGTCACGGGCCGTGCAGAGCGGCCGCGATCGAGCCTCCGACCGGCCGCGTGGTCCCGCCCACCGCACCTCGCGTACGTGCCTTGTCTCGCCGTCGCCGTTGGAGCAGCGCCATCGCCGTCGGATGGGGTGCCATCGCCGTTGGCAGACGCGAGTAGCCGTCCTCTCTCGCCACCCCGGGAGCGTCACGGGCCGTGCAGAGCGGCCGCGATCGAGCCTCCGACCGGCCGCGTGGTCCCGCCCACCGCACCTCGCGTACGTGCCTTGTCTCGCCGTCGCCGTCGGAGCAGCGCCATCGCCGTCGGACGGTGCGCCATCGCCGTTGGCAGACGCGAGTAGCCGTCCTCTCTCGCCACCCCGGGAGCGTCACGGGCCGTGCAGAGCGGCCGCGATCGAGCCTCCGACCGGCCGCGTGGTCCCGCCCACCGCACCTCGCGTACGTGCCTTGTCTCGCCGTCGCCGTTGGAGCAGCGCCATCGCCGTCGGACGGTGCGCCATCGCCGTTGGCAGACGCGAGTAGCCGTCCTCTCTCGCCACCCCGGGAGCGTCACGGGCCGTGCAGAGCGGCCGCGATCGAGCCTCCGACCGGCCGCGTGGTCCCGCCCACCGCACCTCGCGTACGTGCCTTGTCTCGCCGTCGCCGTCGGAGCAGCGCCATCGCCGTCGGACGGTGCGCCATCGCCGTTGGCAGACGCGAGTAGCCGTCCTCTCTCGCCACCCCGGGAGCGTCACGGGCCGTGCAGAGCGGCCACGCTGGCAGAAGCCAACCGAAGAGGTTCGGCGCCCCCGTTCGCAGTGCCTCAAGCGCCGTCTTGCGGATCTCTACTTGCGCGATAGCAGCATGGTTCGCGCGATCGGCCCCGTTTCGCACAGTAGGGACGAAGCCGGCCATCATTGCAGCGAGGTGAAGCTGCGAGTGCGCCTGCTTGCCGAGAAACTGAGCGAGTGCCTTCGGCGTCTTGGAGGCCACCAGGGACCGGAGAAGGCTGCGCAGCGGCACGCTCGAGAGTACGTCGTGCGTCTCGCCGTCATCAACACGTGTCAGCTCCTCCTTCAGTTGCTTGAACGTGTCACTTCTCGACGCATCCGTAGCGGAGATGCAAACGTCGCCCAGCGTGGCGCCACTCAGCGAGAGTTTGAGCGTGTGCACCATTGCGCCGTCCGTCAGAGCCTCTGAGTAGCGCTGGCACCTGCTCGCCACCTGCGCAGTCCAGAGGGAAAGGCTCGCTGCGCGGAGAGAGGAGTTGCAGGTGAGGGCGGGCCAAAAAGCGCCCGAAGTCTGCCTTGTTGTGCCGTTTCGCTCATCATCCTAAATAGATCTTAACCCCCCCTGCTGAGCGGCGACATCATCCGGAAATAGCCCCTCCCCCGTCCGCAAATGCCCCCCACCCACCCACCCATCCACCCACCACCAGTTGTACTCCTAGAGCGAGCGGCGCGACGCGCCCCTCCCTGCCTGCGCCCACCCACCAACCAGAGCTTGTGTGGGGCTCGCACGACACCGCCACCACCGCCGACGTCTCCCAGCGAGATGAATGGAGAGGGGGGACGACACCGCCTCGGCGGCGTGCACCTCGATCCTGCCTGTCCAAAGTGCTCAAAGTGCTCCAAATCCTGGGTGTGAGGTTACCAACCGCACGTCATCACACTGGGTGCGAAAATGTGAGACGTCGTCTAACGCAGCTCGTCGCGCGGAGGCTGCTCCAGCGGCAGCGCAGCCGAATCGCCGTCCGGCAGGGTCCGGCCGAGCAGGGTGTAGAGGACGTCGGAGCGGACGATGGTCTTGACGCCTCTGCTCACGAGCGACCCCTCGTGGAGCATCGACAGCGGGTGCTCTCCGTGGTAGAAGAGGAGCGCGCTGCCTCGCGCCACTCGGACGGACCGCACCCGCGCGCCGGGCGCGTGAGCCGAGGCGGGGAGGCCTTCCTCCGACACGACGAAGCTCGTCTCGCCGCCGTCGTAGTCGTCGTCGAGGTACAGCAGCAGCGTCATCTGACTCCACCTGTCGCCGTACGCGTCCCTCGTCACCCTCCCGTCGCCCGCCGCCGAGCCGGGCCACGACCCGTCCGTGTGCAGGCGAAAGACGTCGCTCTCGCCGTATCGGTACAGCCGCCACCTCTGGTTGAGGCCCGCCGGCCGGCCACCGCCAGCCTCTGGCGGCAGGTGAGGCGCTATCCGGCGCCAGACGGGCAGCCAGACCGAGTCGTCGGCGATCCACACGCAGTTCGAGTTCCTCCGGATGCGGCGGCCGAGGGAGACGGGAGCGTCCTCCGTGTAGCCCATCGCCTCGCTCATGCGCAGCAGCTGCTCGGACTCGCGCAGCGAGAGAACGTTCGAGAGCACGAACGCGCCGCGCACACCGGGCACCTCGTGCTTGACGACAGGCCCGGCGGCGGGCTCGTACTCGATTGCGTGCGGCGACGAGACCCAGATGGGCAGGTCGGGCCGCTCGGACCCTGGCTCTCGCGCGAGGAGCTCAAAGTGGCGACCACGCTGGTACTCAATGCGGCCGCGATGCAGCGAGGCGGCCGCCGCAGCCACGTGAGGCGCGCTCCACACCGAGCGAAGCATAGGGCGAAGTTTGTCCTGATCGCCTGCTGGCTGTTTGGGGTTCCAACGCCAGTGCCGGACGTCGCCACTTCCTTTGTGGACGACAGCGACTGAGGCGGCCGCGCGACCACCTGTCGGGTACCCTATGCGAGGCCCATTGGGTTTTGCCCGCCAAAAGAAAGCCAATTGTTGACTTGGGCCCTCGGGGAGGCCTGCGGGCGGCCTTCTGTCTCGAGATACACAAAGCGGCCAACATTGGGTTGGTAAAAGGGGAAGGAGCCCCAGAAGAATTTTACAACAAAACTCCCTCCCAGAAGAAAACGAGGATACTGGCATGCTCCCACACCCCGCACTCACGAACTCCATACCCGAAAGAAAGAGGGTGAGCTCGCAGGAGAGGTGACGAGTGAACTACAGGTAGTTAGTGGGGAAGGCAGCCTCGATCGCCATACAGACATGGATGCGAACAGGATGCGAAACAACGACAAGACCAAGGCACGGGCAGAGGAGCGAGAGAAGAATCCTATAGGATGGATAAAGCGTCTGTTCACAGACCTTGTTATTGACAAGAAAATACGTCCTATGGCGCTGTGCGCTGGTCTTTGAGAGGTTGAGGTGCGAGCCCTGGAGGCCCTGGGGATGGGGGGAGACTACCCGCGGGCCTAGAAGGCCCGCGCGCAGGGGGGTGGGACATTGAGATTGAAGGCGGAGGTGGAGGCGGCGGAGGCTCGGCGAGCACGCATGGAGGGTGAGCCACGCTGAACGTACTGAACGTAGACGAACGGGTGGAAGCCGGGGAAGACGAACCCGAGGAGGACCCAGTGGTAATCCCGTCGTCAGCTGTCACGATGCACCCGAAGGGGACCCCTGCGCCAGCGTCATCTGTGGAGGTACAAGTGTTCAAACAATCTCTCTCTCTCAAGTGTTCGAAGAGAGAGTGGACCTGAGCAACGATATGACTTGGCGGCAAATGATCGCAGTGGGCGTCAGAAGAGTCGTCCTCGCGCGAGGAGAGCTCGATAAACTCGAGGGGCCAAAATATGCCGCGAGGAGGGCAGAGTTGCGCCGAAAGGCGGGAGAAGCCGCGAGAGCAAGGGATCGGCAGGCGGCGGCGGCGTCGCGGACGAGGCAGACACGAGAGCGACGCGACAGAGGAAGAAGCGACAGGAGGGAGAACGACGAGAGTGGGACGACCGCGAGGTGGCATGAAGGTTGCGCGAGAATCGGCGAGGGACTGCGAAGGGAGATACCATAGGAAGAGGCAGACCCAGACGCCCAAAAAGGGTTAGGGTGCGGGCGACGGCTACACCGGTACCGCACCACACTCCTGTCCTCTCCTTAAAATCCCTGTGTGGTGGCGGCGTGCCGTCCTCCCATCCCTCCCTTGGGTTGTCTGTTTTCTTTCTTTCTTTCTTTTACCCTGAGACGTGAGAGTGCTGAGAGTGAGACAAGAATATTTTATTGACAATATAATATTGAAGTAAAAATGAATCCTACAGTCGACTACAGGTCGCTCCGCGAAAACCTCACAGCTCGCACCAAGAAACTCGGTCCTCGAGCCGGCAGCCACTACACATCACCATGTCCTTTAGGGACGCGCGAGCACCACTCCACGCGGCGCTCGAAGCGGCCTCTCCTTTGCGAGTCAGTCCTCCTCCTCCTCGCCCGCCGCGCGCTGAAACACAAACGATTTTTGGAAGGTGCCCTCGACGTACTTGTGTATCTTGCGCTGCGTCCGCTCGCTCCAGGGGCCCGACTCCTTCTCGAGCACCTTCTTCGATATCTTCTTTGCGAGGTATTTGAAGTCGTCCTGCCGTCAGGGCGGGCAGGGCGGGCGGCGGGTGAGACGGTGGCGCACGCCGCGGCTTTTGGGCCACGGGTGGACGATCCTTGGACGAGATCCGACCCGCGAGGTAGAAGGGTTTTAGACCCGCCTTGACCTTGCTCACCACTTCGTCTCTAAGCTCGATGTCGTCATCGCCGCTGCTCTTTCTCTTGCCGCTGCCGCCGCCTCTGCCGCTTTTGCTCCCTCGTCGCCTGCTTCTGCTGCCATCGCCGCCGCCGCCACCGCCGCCGCCGCCACCGCTGCCGCCGCCGGCACCGCCGCCGCCGCCGACTTGAGACGGCGATTCGTCGGAGCGCGCTTGTTTAGCCGTCATACTTACTTCGAAAAAAGAGAAATAAACGTGCCGGACGGGGCGTCGTCGCGCCGTCCGACGGTCTGCTGCCCCGCGCAGCAACCGTCGGGCGACGACCCGGGGGCCAAAAACCCGGCGACGGCGGCGCTCTGGATGGGGCGTGACCTCCTGCCTCCAACCTCCTTCCTTTTTGAGCAGGTGTGACGCCGCGCGAGCGACGCTCCGAGATCGCCCGAGATAGCGCGGCGCGGCCCCGAGATCGCCTGAGATAGCGCGAGATCGCCCGAGATAGCGCGGCGCGGCCCCGAGATCGCCCGAGATAGCGCGAGATCGCCCGAGATCGCGCGGCGCGGCCCGGGGCGGGGTGGATGGGTTGGGAGCGAGGGGGCGGAAGTGGCCAGTGCGGTAGATCGGTCAGTCGAGGCGCGTGAGCCGGACTTGTGGGCCGGACCACCCAAGTCCTTTACTCTGCGTTGTTGAGCCAGGACTCAACATACTCGTTCTGTTGCCATCCCAAACTGTCACTCCCCTTTCTCCCGGCCGGGGCGGGGCGCGCGCGGGGGCGGCGGGTGTGCGGCGAGTGTGCGGGATGTCTGTGGGCCCGAGAGCGATATGCCATGTCCGCCTTGCGTTTGTTTCATAACATCGAAGGCTAAGCTCAAAAAGAGAAATTCCCGCAGTGAGTTCAGGCCCGAGCCCCTGAGGCCTCCAGCGCGGTGGGGGGCCGAAGTCGAAGACGAAGAGGAAGAGGCTGCGAGTTACGGTGAAGGTTCGCGCTAGAGGAAAAAAACAGCTTTTTTGCTATACTCGGGCCCGCCCCGAACTGTGGCAGCTTGTCAGCCCTCAGCCGAATTTGGGGCCGGTGCCAGCTGTGGTGGCTGCTGAATGGTTCTGCATCTCGCCCTCCTCCGGCCATCGCCCTCACCTCGCGCACCGCCCCCCAAGGCCGCCTTGCCGCTGGTGCCGATAGTCGGGCTCCTCTCGGGTTTAACTCTCGCCGGACTACGCAAAGCGAGCCGCGAGAGAGACAACTTCTACAGCATGGACTGGTCGGGCGAGGCCGAAGACTCGGACGGCGAGGCTTGCGTGCTCATCGGCGAGGAAGCGGCGGCTGACGGGAAGAGCTGGTTCTTATGCCAATCGCCGGCGGAGGGCGCTGACTGCGAGCCGGTCGAGTCCTTCGGCGGCGGAGAGGAGGAGCTCTTGTGCAAAGTGCCAAAGGCATGAGGCGCTGCTGGCGGGTGTGGGGTCATGATGTGTTTATGGGAGGCGAGAGACTGCGCAGACGCAGAAGAAGGGTCTCAGCATGTACAGGTCGGCGTTTACTGTCAGAGAGAGGGAAGGGGGGGGGGGGGGCGGGCGGGCGCTCGCGGCTCGGCCTTTCGCCCACATTGGGACAGGTTTTGCTCATGTACATGCGTGCCGCGGCCCTCAGGCGCCAAAATACAAACTCCCACACGATCACAACGCTACTACTGCGCGGTCGAGACATCTCTGTCAAAATTGCGGCCCCTGTGCCCTGACTGCTCTTCGCCCGCCGGCGCGACGCCGCCCCCGCGCGCCCCGCGGCTCTGCTCTCTGTCCAATCTCCGCTCCCCCAACGGACGGCCGAACTAGTGGCCAGAGCTCACCATCTGCTAGGCATCCACTCACTACGCTATTGACTAAGACTGTTCTCCGCCCTCGCTCGCAGTGGCATGCCTCTCACTTATGATGCCCGGGCCTCAAGGCCATCGGCCTGCCTCACCTCTTCTTGTGGCCGACCTCGGTCTTCTTGGGGGGCGGCGCGACGCGCTCGCCCCACCCGCTCCAGTAGTCCTCGAACTCGTCCGACCAGCACTCGTCCTGCGCAACCTCGCCCGCCGCGCGCTCCGCCTCGAGGCTCCACCGCTCGGCGCCGCTCGGCAGCAGCTGCACCGCAGAGGAGGTGGCGATGAAGGCTGCGCCGCGCTGCGGGTCGTCGCCGGGAGGGAGGAAGCGGACCGCCACCGTGTGGACGAAGGGTACGCGCCGCTGCACGTCGTAGTTGACCAGCCTCGCCGCCGGCGCGTCCCTGCGCTCCGCGACGGCGCGCATCAGTCGCCCGACGGCGGCCGTGTCAGTCAGGTCGCCCTGCAGGCAGCGCAGGGAGCGGCCGAGGACGTCGAGGCCGGAGGGGCGGAAGCCGCACATCTGCAGCCAGCCCGGCGAGGCCCACTCCACCACGTACGGAGGCGCCGCCGCAGTCACCACCACGAATCCGCCCTCCGCCACAAACGGAGGCGGCACCAACTCCTCTGCCAAGAGGGCGCTTGAGCGGCGGAGTGGCTCGCCGGCGCAGCACTCGCCGTCGCCGTCCCCGGCCTCCTCGCCCACGCCCTTGCGGCCCAGCCGCCCCAGCCGGCTCGAGGCGCGGCTGCTGCGGCCCGGCTTTGCGGCGCTGCGGCCGAGCAGAGAGCCGGTGCCGCAGTAGGCAAACGCCTCGAAGGCGCCAATCTGGCCGAGCCAGCCGGTGGCGCGAGGCGCGCGCGACGTCGTCGAGGGTGGCGACTTTTGGCCGCGGCCGCGAGGCGAGCGAGGCTTCGAGACGCCGCGCGGGGCGGAGCCGCCGGCGGGAGGGAGCTGCAGGCTGAGGGGGGCGAGCTCGGACGCCGGCTCGGGCGCTGCTGAAGGCGCGGCCCGCTCCGTCAGCGCCTCCGAGAGGACGCTGACCTCGCTCGGCGAGGCGCTCGCCTGACGGGCTCCGTCCAGCGAGCCGGCGGTGAGCCGAAACTCGGGCGGAAAGTCGTCGCAGGACGCCGCGGCGCCGGGCGAGTCGGGCTGCACGAGGTCGGCCGAGAGCAGCGCCTCGCTCGAGCCCATGGAGGCGCTCCGGCTGACCTCGAGGGGCGGGTCGACCGCGGGACAGCCCTGCAGGTCCTCGGCCACGCAGTTGGAGCAGGGTGGTGTCGGCGAGGAGGTGCTGACCGTCACGCGAAGAAGGGCGATGCTGCCGTCCGCACTGCAGATTGGGGCCGCCGACGCCAAGTGGTGAAAGGAATTGCCGTGCCGGTCCCGCGAGGAGAGTGGCGAGCTCACGGCGTGCCCCAGCTTGAGCTGGGCAAACAGGCCCGACAGTTGAACGTCGCACCACGCCTCTGCACCCTCGAGGCACCGGAGATCAGCACGGGACCCAAACGTGTCTCGCCACTCCGGCGTGGAGTACAAGATGCGAAACGGTGCTTCCGCGCTGGTGATCGCGGTCCGCTGCGTTTCACCATTCAGCTGGGTCATGCCCACCCTGCTTTTGCACTCACGGTGGCCGGGTGCGAGGCGCGAGGCACGCGCTGGGCCCCGGCTGACTGCTTGATGAGCTGAAGGTTCCTCCACTTAGTCATTTTCCGGACCGTCTTACTTGGCCACATGCCGTCCACACATGCCGGAGGTGACGTGTCGGTGTGAGTGAGCGGCCCATTGGCATAGCTGCAACTGCCGACAGCACCGCCAAGGGGATTGGGGATTGCCGCAATCAAGCAAGTTCGCATGAAATGAAAGAACGAGACTGGGAGTTTGTTTTTGTTGAGACTGGTAAAAGAAGAAGAACAAACAAAGAAAGAAAGAAACAGACAACCCAAGGGAGGGATGGGATGGGGAGGGGGAGAGGACGGCACGCCGCCACCACACAGGGATTTTAAGGAGAAGGGTGTGGTGCTATAGCCGTCGCCCACCCTAACCCTTGGGCGTCTGCCTCTTTCTATCTCCCTTCGCAGTCCCTGAGTGGTGCTCTCTCTTACAGCAAGACCAAGTTTGCATGTATGAATCTCACCAAGAGAGAGGCTATCCCCCCCACACTAAACCCCTTCCAACCTCGAGAGCTAGCTCACGGCACCGGGTTCCACGAGAGTTGAATACCGTATGGTTAGAAGAGACACAATTGTGTATAAACAATCCGTGCGCGCGGAAGGCCCAGTAAACTGCTAAACGAGAGGCAGCGTACCCTTTGGCCCTGGTTCTGAAGAGGGTTCTCTCTCCGGCGCGTGGCGGCCGCGCTACCGCGTATGAGCCGCGACCGCTCCCGCCACGCCCCCCATCGCGGCTGGGTCGGCTGGGCTGCCCGTCATCACGCGTGTCGCCGCAAGAGCTGGGCCCCGCATCGACCCCGTGTTCCTCCCAACTCGCTTGGCTTCGTCGGGCAGGCAGCTTAGTGGCAGCCGCCCAAACCGATCGGGAGTTGTGGCCGAGGCGTTGCTCTCTTCGAGGAAGCGGACGATGGCAAGGTGGTCGTTCCCGCGCGCACTCGCTCTCCCGACGTTTAGGCAGGCGAGGTGCAGCGGTGTGCGACCGTCGCAATCCTGCGCCTCGACACTGCATCCCGCCTCGACCAGCGCCCTGACGGCGCCTTCGTGGCCCTGCTCGCACGCGTGATGCAGTAGCGTCCGCCCACTGCCGTCACTCCGAGAGAGGGCCTGGCCACTCGAGATCAGCTCGTCGAGCGGCTGTGGGCTAAGGTCAAAGCGCGAAGCCGCGTCAAAGTAGAACGCCATGTGTTGTGGCGCCCGGCGAGGTACTTCCAGCCTGCTGTGGGAACAGCTGAACGCTGCTCGCCAAGGCTCGCCCCAGCAGGGTTGACTCGGCCAGACAAAAACCCCGAGGGGCGTGGGAGTACCTCGCCAGGGCCGGAGCACTTGACGGCCGTCTCAGATCTCGTAACCGTCCGCTCAAACTCTCGGCGGGCGCGATGTCGTGCGGTTCAGCGAGCGCGCGGGCAATTTTTGCAGTGGCTGCTCTCGCGAACTTGATCGAAGCTGCGGACACGCGTTTCGACGGTCTCCTCACAGCCGAGTACGCTGAGCGCGAGATCTCGCACCATGACTCGATCTTCTATGAGCTGTGGTCGAATGGTTGGGAGCGGCTGCGCCCCGGCAAGGAAGCGTGCTGGGACGGCCAACCTGGTGGCGCCGATGCCTTTTTTGATCGCGTGCGGCGCGGCACCACGTGCAGCGCGAACTGGTTCTCCGCAGCAAAAGGTGACCTTGCCGCTGCAGACGCCCGCGCTCGTTTCACGGGCCACGCGCCGGCACTCCTCGGCTTCGACCCCGACATATACGACTACTGCTCGGACCTCAACGGGCAGAGCCATTCGTTCACTGGCAACGACTGGCAGGCTGAGTTCTCGCTGCGGTGCATTCGAGCGAACCGCAACGTGTTGCGCGTACAGCAAGGATCTTCGCCCCCCCTTGCCCCACCACTTTGTGTGTGTGGAGACGTTTACCTTACCTTACCTTACCTTACCTATTAGGTTGGACGATGTGTAAAAACCTTGAATGGATCTTGTGCGCCGCTCGCGGCTGGTTACCTGGGATGTGGAGAAACGAGCTGGAGTTCGCCGTGATCCCCAGCCGGATGGACCTGGCCAAGCACCGTGCCCCCTCTTCGTGCATCAACGGGCCTTGCACTTCGCACTTTGCTGTCGACAACGTGTATTTCGCCGAGGTGCTCGTGCTCTCCTCAGTCTGCGCCAACGCAAAGGAGCTCTATGCGTACCGCCAAGGCGGCAGGTTCGCCTGTGAATTCGATGAGGCGCGGTATCGCCGGCTCGCGCTTGCGCTGAGGAGCCGCGGTGCGCAATCTCCGGCGCTCGCGGCCGGCTGCAATGACACCCCCGCATGGTCGAGCCCCACCGGTCTGACTTGCGCCGACTACGCCAGCCGACGCTACTGTTCCGAAGCCAGCGCGCCCGCGGGACAGCGTTGGGCGCTCGGTGAGAATCACGGCTGGCCGGAGCGGAACTGCTGCGCGTGTGGCAAGGAGTAAATAAAAAGCCGGACACCTTGTGTGCGTGGTACCAAGGGGTTGTCAGAGTGAAAAATAAAAAAACAGGGGTGGAGGAAGTGCGTAAAAGGATGTTTGAGTTAAATTTGCGTGATAGCAGGTGAGACGGAAGTGAGTGCGTAGGGGCGCACGGCCGCCTGTTGGCTCCATGCCGCGCGGTGCCGTCAGCCCACCATTAGCAGCAGCCTCTCCTCATGTGCAGTTAGTTCCTCCGGGGACAGGTGTGTCCCTTTCTGAGCTGACCGCACCTTCTGCATTTATAAGGCATGCGTGAGGCTCGGTTCTGCACGTTCTCCCCATCAGATGCTCGAGCCTCGCTCCGGTTCAATACCCTCGCGGCTTGAACCGCAGCCTGCCGCTCCTTCATGACGCGTAGATGGGTTTGCAGCTGCTTGCACTGCCTCTTGTGGGGAAGCAGGTTGGGATCTCCACCCTCGCCGCTTGCGGCCCTCTTTTCTGGCGTGCGCACGTGCGGCACCGCGGATGGAGGACTGCCAGCGGTGGCAACACAGAGCGGGCGGGGTGGCTGCCCGCTCTGCTGGTGGTTTTGCGATCGCAGCTCTGCATCCCTCTCTTGAAAACCACGACCTATCCCGCTGGGATGCCCGACCGCATCCCTCGCTTCAGATGCGCCGCCCATCTCTCTGGGATGCCCGACTAGGTCTGCAAGCCTCGCTGTAAGCATCTGTTTCTCGGCGGAGAGGCCGCACGCCAGCTGGAAGAGATGCAGAGAATCCATCGGTGTGGGCTACGAATGCGTTACATGCGCGTGCGTCCACGCATCGCATCTGCGCAAACGAAGAAAGAAAACCTCATAGGGGAACGGGAGGGAGCGCAAAGCGTTAGTTACGTTCCTCGACTTCTTTTCTTTTATACCAGCCATCAAGCCGGGCCGCGACCCGAAGCGCCACAGCGATGGCCGGAGCGGCGGTAAACCACATCCTCGGGCTCGTGCTCGTGCTCATCGACTTTGCACTGTACCTGGTCACGCTCGGCCCACTCATCACGCTCTACCGCTACCTCACGGCGCAGACGGTGTTCGCGAAGCCCGTGGCGGACGCGGACATCAACAAGGGAGGCCCGCCGAGCAAAGTGTGGCGCTCGATCGACGCCATTGAGGACGGAAAGCTGGAGGATGGCATCGCCTGGTTTGGCGGGTGCCACACTGCCTACGAAGCGTTCGCGCTCGCCTACAGCAAGTTCGCCACCAACCGCGCTCAGGCGCAGCCACAGCGCAGCCACTCTCGGACGTGCCCCAACTGAGCGTCACGTCCCCTCGGCAGGGCACACGCACGCTCCTCGAGGCCAAGGTCGAGTCCGGCTACCGCTTCCCGACCAAGGCGCGCGCGGTGCTGCCGAGGAAGGGGCGGCCACCTCAACCCTCACCGCCTCCACCTCCACCCTCACCGCCTCCTCTCCCGGCTTGAGTCCTTACCATACCTCTGCCGGCTCCTGCCTCCTGCCGCTCGCAGATGTTCGGGCCGACGACGTGGCGGACATACGCGGAGCTCGGCGAGCTCGCCCATGCCTTTGGCGCCGGCCTCCGCCACCTCGGCATCGAGCCGCAGCCGGCCGACGCCGTCTCTGCAGACCACAAGGGCGCTCTGGTCTACGACGAGACCTCCGGTGACCACGCACCACAGCAGCAGCAGCCGAGCCTGCGCGCGCCGCAGAGCCCGCAAGCGCTCCCCCCCCCCCCGCGCCCCCTGCAACCCACCTGCTTCCCGCCTCGTCTGCGCGCCCTCCCTGCACGGCCCGTCCATGCCCCCCTCCCCCTCCCTCCCTCCCCCCCCTTTCGGGCAGCCGACTGGATGGTCGCGGCGCACGGATGCATGTCGCAAGACATCGTCGTCGCCACCTCCTACGCCACCCTCGGCGTCGACTCGGTCGCCAAGGCCGTCAAGCAGGGCGCGGTCAGCGTCCTCGTCTGCAACCGCAAGGCGGTGCCGGCACTGCTCAAGATGGCACCGCCAGCATGCCGAGCCTCGAGGGGGAGGGAAGGGAGCCGTGATCCTCGTGGGCTGCTTCTCAGGTGGACCAGATGCCCAGCCTCAAGGTGATCGTCTACACCGACGCCCTCTGCACAATCAAGGAGTGCGAGTCCAAGGTCTCCGGCGGCAAGAAGCCCACCCTCCTCTCGCTCGACGAGGTCATCTCCATCGGCAAGGCGCACACGCGCCCTCCCGACGCCTGGTCAATGGGGGCGAGCCACCAGTCACTGTCTAATCAACAATGCACAAGGCGCACCCGCGCCCTCCGACGCCGCCCAAGCCGGACTCGCTCGGCGTGCTCATGTACACCTCCGGCTCGACGGGTGGCCGCGAGGGCGAGCACAGCTCCTGCATCAGCAGCTCCTCCGCCTCAGGGGCAAGAGCGAGCTGGTAGGCGACCCGAAGGGCGTGATGATCCTGCAGAAGCAGCTCCTTGCCCAGATGGCCGGCCTTGTCCACGCCATGCCCGAGGAGGCGCGGGACCCGTCCGTCAACCCAGGCGCGCTGCAGACGTGAGCAGCAGCACGGAAGTTTCACCTCTTGAGTCGCTCCGCCCGTCGACCTCTAGAGCCCCTCCCTCCTCCCTCTGATCGACCACTGCCCGCGTGCAGGCACGCACATCGCCTACTTGCCGCTGGCCCACATCTTCGAGCTCGTCATCGAGTGCGTCCGCCCACCAGTGACTCTTTCCCTGTGAATCGTTCATTAGTCATCAGTGGGTAGAGCTCGTCGCTGAGTGCACCTGCCTTCCTTCGCCTCCCACGCCACGCCCACGCCACGCCCACGCCACGCCTCCGCCCCCGCCCGCAGGTTCGCCTTCTTCGGCTCGGGGCACGCGGTTGGCTACGCGGACCCGAAGACGCTTCTGCCCGGGCCCGAGAAGTGCAAGCCGACCGGTGGGAGGGAGGGAGCTGCTGAGCGGTCCCCAGCCGTGGAGAGTGCGGGGAGTGGCGAGGGGCTGCTGTTAGGCTCGCTCGAGGAGTTCCAGCCGACGCTCATGGCGGGCGTGCCCAAGGTGTGTGGGGGAGGGGGGGCCGATACGGGCGACCGTCTCGGACTCTTCTCGGACTCTTCTCGGACTCTTCTTCCGGACCTGTGTTGCAGGTGTGGGAGGCGATCAAGGCCGGCGCTCTCGCGAAGGCTTGGCAAGGCGGGGCGGACGGCGGTCTTGCTGTGAAGGTAATGACCTCGTGGTTGTGCATCACCGAAGGTGAGCAAGGCGGGCCCGACTGCAGTCTTCCTGATCGGGCTCGCAGTCAAGATGAAGGCACTGGCGACCAAGCAGTACCGGTACACGCCCCTGTTCAACCTGCTGCTCAAGAAGTTCAAGCAGACGACGGGCGGGCAGCTGCAGCTCTGCGTCTCGGGCGGAGGCGCAGTCTCTTCGCAGGGGACGGGTGCGTGTGAATATGGCCGGTGATGACGGACCAACGGGCGAGATTGCGATCTCAGGCGCAATCTCGGGCGAGGTACAGGAGTGGG